GTTGTTAAAAAAATTTAAGTAAGTATCAGATTAATCTGGCACTTGAATAAATTTTAAAGCGCAGTAACAGAATTGAAATGTTATACAAATCAAGTGAGTGGTACAAAGTCACGTGAGTAATATGAAGTGGCACAGTAAAAGAAAAAATAAAGTTACACAAGATCTAAAAACAGTTACATAAGAATAAATGAAGAAGAAGGAGTCATATTTATAGATTTTTGAGTAGTACAAAATACAGTAAAATAATTAAAATATTGTACAAGTCATGTGAGTAATACAAGTCATATAAGTAGTACAAGATATAGTAAAAAAAAAGTTAAGAAAGAAAGTAAAGAAAATTAAAAAGTGAAGAAATAGTATTATGAAGCCCCCTTGCACTTTTAATGCTATTTGATGATGTCAGAAGAAAACATCAAAATCTAATCCCCTTTATATAAAAGATGGTTGATATCAGTGTTAATTTTTCAATAAAAAGTTACTGTGTAGATGGTGCACAATTTATTGAATTTTACTTTTTTCTTAAATTCTATTGGTTAATTAGCTAAAAAGAAAAAAAATCATAACAATATAACATAAAATTTCCTTTATAGTAGGATCTGCAAATAATTTTATATATGATTTTTACCTTAGGCCTGGGAATGACCTATCTTATAAGTAAGTAAGGTCCTACTGTAATACATATACACTACTTGGAAAAAAGTAGGCGGACACCATATTTATTAATTACTCAAAAACGTACATAATAAGTGGGGTCAAAATTTTAAATTTTATTAGTTAAACCATATACAAAACTAATATTTAGTTGGCCATCCATTATTCTTAATACACGCCTCAACCCTGCGTGGCATACTTTCAATTAAATTAATTAACGTATTATTAGGAATTTGATTCCATTCTTCATGTAAAGCACACTCCAATTCTCTCACATTTTTTGCAGGATTGGGACGTTTTCTAATGCGCCTTTCCAGCTCTGACCATAGGTGCTCGATAGGATTTAAGTCAGGTGACTGACTCGGCCAATTTTCTAAAATTTTAACCTTTTTTGTTTCTATCCATTTTTTAACATTTTTAGCGGTGTGGACAGGGGCGTTATCATCTTGGAATAAATAACCTCGTCCATTATAATTATTATTAATAAATGGAAGTAAATGTGATTCGAGTATTTGTATATAGTCACGATGGTTCATTTTACCATTAATTTTTATTAGCGGCCCTAACCCCTTTCCTGAGAAACAACCCCACATCATTATACCTCCACCACCTTGTTTTATTGAAGGAACCATGTTTTTAACATTAAACCTTTTTCCGGGGGTTCTCCAAACACGACCTGGACCATCATTTTTAAATATAGTAAAGCGGCTTTCATCGCTCCAAATAACTGACTTCCATTTTCTAACAGACCAGTCTTTCCTTTCAATACACCAGTTTAAACGATTTTCTCTTTTTTTATCATTAAGAAGAGGTTTGAATGCTGGAATACGTGAAAAAATATTAAGTTCATGCAAATTTTTCCTTATAGTCTTGGTAGTAACTTGTAGTCCTGTTTTCTCTTGAAAATTATTTTTTATTTGTTCAGCTGATTGACGATTATTTGTTTTGACAATTTTTTTTAATGTTTTTTGGTGTTGGCAATTTAAAAGTTTAGGACGACCACTTCGTGGCTGAGTTTCAAGACTTTTTCCTTCACAAAAGATTTGAATAGTTCGGTAAACTGCTGTTCTAGAAAAGCCAAGCATTTTAATAATTTTTTGTCTGGTGGCGCCACCTTTAAATAGACCAATAATCTGGTTGCGTTCAGCTTCCGTTAAATCATACATGTTGCGAAGTAGTACAAAATCCTAATTTGTCGATCACATTTGATGGTTGTCTATAAATGAAATAACAATTACGTCATTGTTTATTTATACCATAAACTATCACGTGATAAAATTTCAGCCCAAATTATTATGTACATCTTGGAGTAATTAATAAAATATGACGTCCGCCTACTTTTTTCCAAGTAGTGTATATCCAATCATATAAGGATATTTCAAAATTTTTTGTAGACATGTTACACATTCTTTTTAAAAAAGGTGTATGCAAAATTCTGATTATATGCACTATGCACATGCCGCTAAAGATAGTCATCAGTCCTAAAAGACTATGGTCTCACAGTCCTACATCTTAAAAAGATGGACCAGTCCATCTTGATATAGGACCACGGTCTTTTGGTTCTATAACACGTACAATAAGACTGACAGTCTTTTTAAAACCAATTAGTCTTTCTTTACTAGGAACAGTTTTCCAGAAACCATTCCAGTCCAGACATATATTATAAACAAATAATATGTATAAAGATGGATTTATTATACTTTATTAAGTATTAACGTTAATTTTCTTTTTTTTTCTTTGGAAACAATCTTTTTTAGAAATAAGGCAAAGTTTCAATATGCATGTAATAACTTATATATAAAGACTGATACAAAGACTAGGTCAGTTTCAAGACCAGTCCTACTGCACCAAGAAAAAATAAAAGACCGCGGTCCAGTTCTACAAGTCCTAGGGCCGACCGGTCCAGAACTGAGTAGGACTGGTAGGACTGATGACCATCTTTACATGCCACACAGTGAAAAATAAATACTGGTCGATATTCAACTATAAATTCAAAATTCCTTTCCAAACAATACTTGAGCAATTAGAATATATCTCTCCTTAAATTTATGATTTTTCTTTGATTATAATTCTTTTTTAAGTTTATTTATATTTTGTTTTAATTTCACAACTCTAATTCTAAGTTCAGTATTCTCAATAACAGTATCTGTCTTATTTTTCTTTAGCTTTTTGATTCTAGCTTTAAATTCAGCTTTTTCAATACTACGCTAAGTATATTTTTTCTTAATTACTTCTAGAAACTCAATCTCAATATTAGCTTTATCAGTCTTAAACATTCTCAGCCTCAAGCTTAATGATGTGCTATTTCAATACTTTATTAATATTTTTTATATGTATTTTTTATATAGCAAATGCAAATGTAAAAACGTTTTATTAATGCAAGATAAAAAATAAATACAAGATTCGGGATGTAGCCTGTGATGCATGACATTTATGCTATTATTATACATGAAATATTTTTTTAAACAATATTCCTTTTATCCTAATCTTCTTTTTATCCAGATCATCCTCCATATATGTCTTATTCTTTATTAAACTAACAATCATATCCAAAACCACTTTCATGTTATTATACAGTACTTTGCAAAAGTTGGAATTTGGGTCTAGCCTTTTTGGTAAATTCAATCAAATATGCAGTATCACTTGCCTTAAAAATTTTTTTAGAGCTATATATATAATAGGAAGTGCTAGTCCTAACCTGTTGTAATGATACTATAGAGGTAATAAAATCGTCATTGCCTCTCTTTCGCTTTTTTAAAAGATTATCTGAATATGATTAGCATATTAATTAGCCAATAAAATTTAAATGAGATGATATCACCAGATAAATTATATAAAAATATATAGGTCAAATCATCTTAGGTGAAAAATTGCTAAATCACCCTAGATAAAAATTAGTTATAATCTTTTTAAAAAATTAAAAATTAGGTTTTTTTGCAATTTTCTCAATATTTAGTAATTCAATTTTAATAAACTTTTTTAATTTATAGTTAATATAAGCTTTATAAAATAAAAAAAGTCCATCCCAAATAGATTACTAGATGTTAAGATAATTGCAAAAAACAAAAAATAAAAAAAAAGCAAATTTTGGCAAAAAATCAATTATAAGTTTTATATTAGATGTCTAGAATTCCAATAACTTAAATTAACATATTTGATAAAATTAAACTTAATTTATGAACTAAAGTTAAATATTTTTAAGTTTTATAAATACAAGGATTTTAGTAATATTTAAGAAATTAGTTCAGAAAAATTTTTGTGTAAATTTGAAAAAAATCTAAAAATCTGAAAATATTATACTTATACTAGTCAAAAAATAACTTAATTATAGCTTAATATTAATAATAATTTATTTAACTAGTAATTTATTTGACTTAAATTTTTTTAATTTTACTTCTAATATTTATAATCTACCTACTAAAATTCATCCTGATCCTCTAATTAGAATATTAAAGATAACTGAAAAAAATTTTTTATGTATCTATTATATCAGTTGCTCTTTTTATAAAAATTAAACTATATTTTTATTTTATTATAATTAATTTTTATATTACTATTAATATAATTCTTCAAATATTAGTGATAATTGTTCAGTTATTTCTGATATTATGATTAACCAATTTATTATAGTATGAAAAGTAAGTCATAAGAGTTTTCTATTAATAAATTTCTAGCATAATTTCTCATTTTTGAACTATAAAAAGAAGAAAACATAGAAGAAAAAATTATCAGTTATGGCAAAGTTAATTAGTTAATTAATTAAGATTTATATAATGTAAGATTCAGGTGGGAAAATTTCAAAATATTTTTTCTTTTTCTCAGAAAAAAACAAAAATTTTTCCTAAGAAGAAGATATAAAAGTGTTTAAATTTGATTCAGCTTTCTGTATTTCATTTTAATATACTAAAATTTTTTTAATTTTTTATTGTAATAATTCAATATCATTCACTGATTAGAGTAAAATCATTTACAATCATATATTTTCCCTTTCTATAAAATGCGTAAACTATTATGCTATAGACATGTATATTGTTATTATAATATCACAATTAATAAGTCTTCTGCCAAAATATCTTGCATAATTGAAATTGTTGATGATATATTAGGAAAAGTAAAGAGGAATGCTTAACCATTCATTTTTGCTTAAATTACAAAATAAAGAATTCCCAATATTATTATATTTTATATTTTATAATACATAAACAATAATATATATAAAATTAAACACCAATAATCCAATATTTCAAAGGGGAAAAATTACAGTATTATTCTAAACTTACTGTTTAATTATAAAATCAAAAAAAAAAAATTGTCTTAATATTAGTACTTTATTATTTATTTTATTTATTTATTTTATTTATTATTATTTAAGAAAATTAAAAAAAATTGACAATATCCAACAATTTTACAATATTTGATATAATAAACATAAAACAGAATGTCACATGCAGATCATTTTTAGAACTTAGAACCCGTATTACTGCGTATAGCATATTCTGCGGTATAGATTTTTAGAAAACGATTATTTGACCACGCGATTCAGGACCTTTATTTTATAGTTAATATATTTTTATTTTTCTGATAACTAATTACTAATGTTATAAAAGTAAAAATTATCACTTACACAACTTTAGATTAATTTGAGTCCCAGGAATTTACTTAACCGTTCACGTTTAACTAAAACACTTCCGTTTCTTGGTAAATTATAAAATGTTAAAAAAACATCGATCTTGTGTACTTTATAGAATTATAGTGTATAATGAAAAAGATTAATTTCGTAAAAGAAATAACTGATAAACAATTAAGGTTAATATACTGACCGGTCAATCTTAGCAGTTCCAAAGTGTTTCTGGGGAAATTGTTCGGCATTTGATTATTGGCATTTGGAAGTGGTGTGATAGCTTCTCGAACGCTTTGTACACTTGAATTTCTGGTTCTCGCTAACGATTGTGCGTCTCTAGAATATGGAAATGTAGTTATTTTGGTAAAAGTTACTAGATAATCAAAAAAGACATACATTACTCGAACATTATTAGTAAAGTTATTAATAGAGTTCTGAATTCGACGAAGTTGCGTCTGCATTTGACGTTGGTTAATCTGCATTTGATGTTGGGTAGTCTGCATTTGACGTTGCATTTGACGTTGGGTAGTCTGCATTTGATGTTGGGTATTCTGCATTTGATGTTGGGTATTCTGTATTGCGTTGAGTTGTCCAGCATTTAGAGCAGGGAGATTTTGTAGATTGGTAAGTTGTTGGGTGATATTACCGACCGCTTGGATCAGTATATTTGTATTTTGGTTCAAAACGGCGAAGTCGAGTTGCTGTGGTTGTGATTGTTGCGCCTATATATTTAGGGGAACGTAAGTCTTCTAAATCTAGAACTGAACTAATTCTAAAATTTACCATTTCAACGTAGACTACAGTAAGTTGAAAACAGAAAATAATAAATTGAATTTACTTACGCCTTATACTTATTTATGCGAGTTTAAAAAGTCTAGTCTACTTAACTGTTAATAGATACGCGTTTTTTTTGATCTGGCGAAAATTTGATTCGTCATGTGATCAAAATCAGATTATAAGCCACGTGCTTACATGGTGTGAGCTCTATACAATAATTCTGATTATTTGGGAATACTAGCGAAAAAATAAATTCAATGATCCTGTAGTATATAGTTTTCCGTCTCTATTTATGCTTCTACAGATACCACGCTGAAGAGCATTCCAGCATTTGAGTCGATAAGTTCGTTCTCCGCAATATTCACCAGAACCCCATATTCCATACAGTTTTTTCTTTATGGTTTCCATTACATATAGGACAGAGTGTTGAACTATTAAGATTAAATCTGTCACCACGTTCATCACTATTGCTTAAAGATAGATAAGGAAACTGCTCTAGCACCAACCCAATGATATGTTTTCGCTTCTTCTTCGGGATCTTCAGGTAAAATAGAGATAGGAAGTCGGGATTTGTTAGATGATCTTGCCTGACCGGAGAAAGATGTAGATGATGAAATCATTTCCGGTGAAGCATTTATCTTGATTTCTTTTTCATTCGGTGAGGACCGGCACTTAATGTAGTAGGAACCCTTTATGCATCGGCCAACTACCCTCCCTTTATTATGCTCTTTTCCACATCCAGAACATAAGCTTGAAGTTTTAAATTCATATCCATCATTATGTTTGTCACTATTATATAAGGATAGGTAGGGATATTCTTTCAAAGCCACATTTGATATAGGGAGCACGAGCATCATATGGAATAACTAGACTTTGTCTTGGTAGGTTCTGATATTTTTTTGGTCACGTGCGCGTTACAATTTGTAACAGCGATCAGAATCCTCATCAGCCTTTTTCAGCCTTTTTTTTTTGGAAAATCATTTAAATCAGAATAAACTCGAAATCGCACTCGCGCTATAAGTAACTGCTTGGATTTTATCTATTCCGTTTCCTGTAAATAGTAAGTTTACATCAGTAATGTCGGGGAGAAGGGCTTTGATCTCGTTGTATACCAATGTTCTTGCTGATTGGTCATCAATGTTGCTTGTAGACTTGACATCCCTGATTCGCATTATTTTGCTGGTCTACTATGGAGCCGGATACCTCAACAGCTGATAACGGGTTATCTATAGATAACCGCACCTCTACTATCACTTTCTTATCATTCTGTGGTTGTCCAGTTACTTCAATAACACCCTGTTCACTATTGCAAGTCTGGTTTCAAGCTCACCGACTCTAAGCTTGAGTTCAGTAATCTCAGCATCATGTTTGGCATCTTTCTCCATGACCAGCTTTAGGAGTTCAGCATTCTTGGCCTCAATCTCAGCCTTCTCAGTCTCAAGCTTAGCATTTTTGGTCTCAAGCTCGCTAATGCGTTGTCTCAATAATTTAAGCTCTGATGACATGATCTAAATATCTCGACAAAGATAAGTAAGCATTCAAAATAAAAATAAATCACGTACGCGTTACAAATTGTAACGCCGATCATTTTTGCCAATTTTTTATTAATACATGCAAAAATAAATACAAGATCGGGACACTGCCCGTTATACATGACACATGAGATCTACGCTAATACTCTATCCTATTATTCTGTTTTTACCGCTTCAATAATTCCTGGGATTCGATCTGGCTATCAAACACCCACTTGATTTGCCCAAACAAGTCCTTGATAAGTCTCATGGGTTAATATAACCTTGTTGATTGGTAATGGAGAGGGTGACAACGAACTTAATAACACTTCCGCCTTCCCTTCGCTATTATTCTCAGAGCTAGCTTGATTATTACCCAATCCATAGCAGCTGATATCATAGCTAAGTTTTTTAGGATTGCGCTGGATAGATGTCTGCAGTTGGATCGCATTCTATGCAATTCCTTGATTGATATCCTCTTTTCGCCTCGGTGATTATGATAATGATATTCCCTATCTTTATAGCCCAATTAACAGGACCTTTGTCATGACTTCCTGAGATTTCATACTGAGGATAAACCTTTATTTCACTTCCATATATTCCATAAATTATACGGGAAATAAATTCACAACGGGTAGCTTCGTTGTCGCTAGTGATGTGTTGGGATGTCTTGTGCAATCTTAAAAATTCACCTATAACTTGATTTCGGATATCTTCTGGCGTATCCTTAACAACTCCAACAAAAGTAGGTAGTTCATTATAATCGTCTGCCTTCAAGCCGAAGAGTGCCTTCATCTTATCAAACCTCTACGAGGAGAATGGTTGTTTAGCTGTTGTGGAAATATAAGATTAAAGCTATTAGTATCTGTTGCGTAAATATCACGAAAAAATATAGCTAATATTAAACATTACTTACATGTGTCCACGACAATTGGGAGGTCTACTTGAATCCCTGAGACCAGATTATACATGCCAAATCCTCATCATCGATCAAACGAACCCACTCTCACGATTTATGACGATACGCTCATCCTCAGTTCCGACAGGGAAAGTAAACAAGTTCGAAGTCTCTTCTTCAAAGCTGACAAGGTTATTTTCCCACGAGATACAGCCCACCCCTATTAAAAAAAAACCAATAAATGATCATTTTTCTGAAAAATTTTTTATAGGGCCACAAGAATTCTCTGACTTACGTCCATGTGAACTTCTTTCGTCTCAACAGGACTGTATGATGATATGTGTGTGTTCGTCGGCTGGCGAAGAAAAGTGTTTACTATTTTTCGAAAGTGGAAGCAGTTCCACACCACCGAGCTCCTCCTTAATATTAACGTTTGTTTTTGTATTGACGAGCTTAAATTTTTCGTTTTGTTCTTCGAGGGAAATGTCGACTTTCCGTAGCTTAATGTCGTTAGGGGAAACATACTCAAACTTAGGGTGAAGCTTCTTCGATTATCAGATATAGGGTTTTTATGTCGCACAGGCGTTGCATCATTTTTTTCACGTGACCGTTTTCTCGTAAAATAACCGAAGCGTATCGTGACCTAGTTCACGAGGAATCTAAAAATAAATCGTTGCCGAAGCAATAACTAATACATAAAAAAATGGCACAGCGAAAACACTGCTCACTATTGGGATGTTTGAGTTTGGGGAAATGATCAAAAATATTAGACATTGGAGTCAGCACCCGTGACTCCTGTATGTGTTCAGCATCAACTGATGTTATCACTTTATCTGAATTTAATTCAATCCTACGGACTTCAAATTAGTAATTGGAATATTATCAAATCGGGACTTATGTTCTTTTTTAATTTGCGATCTTACACTGTTAATTTTTATTGTAACAACATCATGCTGTTGTGTGATTCTCCAAACAGAATCGCTAGGAGGAACAAGACAATTACTGAATAAATATTTAGTTTATATATACAGTATTTCAAAATAACACTTTAAAAAAGGAATTTTTAAAAATGAATTTATTTTTTATTGACATAAATATAAAACCTTAAACATATCTTAAATATAAATATGATCTTAAATATTAAATAGGCATAATTAATTATAAAATAGAAATAAAAATGTATAATATATCGATTGTATCGTCTATAATTATTTATAGACTTCTTTTTTTAAAGTCTCTTTTATGTTTTATTGTTTCAATTTCTTTCTTGAAATCAAAAGATTATGATCAGAATATTGTGAATGTTTAAATTTACAAAACTTCTTCATTAAACCATATTTGCTGTTGTCAATGAAGTTTCAACTTTCGACTTGTTCGTTATGTACATTATTAGGAGAAGAACATTAATTTGTGAATGTATTCAACGTACATATGTGTACCAGTTCTTTCAGCAACGGGTTTTAGGTTATATCCTTCACGACCAATTAATTATCAATTTCAATATGATGAGAAATTGGAATGGACAAGTTTTCCACTTGCTTTTCCATTTTGTAAAGAAATAAAGGATTTAGATTTTTTTAAAACGACAAAATAGTTAATTAAAGGTATAAATATATTTATAACAAAAATTGTCGCACAAAAGAAACATTGTTATTATTTACATTATGATAATCACACAACATAATGTTTTTGTTAATGTATTTATTAAACGTTATTGTTACCAGTTTAGAAAATTATTTAATAATTTCCAGATACATTATACAATAACAACAAAAAAACATCAATGACTATGTATGACACTTTTATTGCCATTTGAGGTAGAAAAAAATCCCTCATGAATGTGGAGTTTATTTCTTTATTCGTGAATAAAGACTTTGCTATCATGACTTCATGAGATCGACACAATTACTGCTGATCATTTTATTTCTACAAAGCTGCGCTAACTTTTTTTAGGGGGAAAACCGGCCAAATAAATTTAGATCTTCGTAACCGCATATAATTTTTTTGAAAAAAATGGTGACCGGCTTTTATTTTATACATGTAATATGAAAATTTTTTGTACATAATGTGAATTTAGTTATTTTACATAAAATTTTGTGATTTTTATTCGAAAATTTGACGCAACAAAAATCTAAAGATTTAATTTTTTTCGTCCTAAGATTATAATTGTCAAATTCTTTCAAAAATTTATAATAAATCATCTAGTTGATCAGTCTTTTAATTTTGTAGAATCAACACACACTCATCACTTCTAACCCGCTAATAAATGAGGCTCTTTACAAATCACAAAGACAAGCCATTTTCTTGCATCAATAATAAAAAAATCAGTAGAAAAACTACTTAAAGTTCAAATTTCAAAATAACTTACCAAAAAAAAGGTTCGTAACTTTGTAAATATGGTTTGGAGAAACTAATAAGTGTGAAAATATTTGAGAAAGAAAAAGTTGGCATCTAAAAAAGAATGGACCATTTTTTATAGTAATTTATCATGGAAAATTTGATTTACATAGTTGACCGCGCACTCCAACGATTCGTGTCAATCGCCAGGAATTCGAATTGTAGAAATTGTAGAGAACAAGGATCAGCTGCCAACTATATTTAAAGAAAAGGTTCAAATTGAGATTGGGAAATCTCTAGTAATTTAGAAAAAGATTTGTATATTTTGTATCGCACGTTTCATGAATTCTTTATTAAGAAAAAAATAATCCTGGTTACAAGACAAAAAAATATTTGTTGTATATATATATTGTAATAATAATAAATTTTATTCTTTTTCTATAAACTATTTTTTTTTTAAAAAAAAAAATACATAATCGATAATAAAATAATGAAAAAAAAATGCATAATAATGAAAAAATAAATAATGAAAAAATAAATATAATTGATAATAAATAATGAAAAAATAAATATAATTGATGATAAAATAATGAAAAAATAAATATAATTGATAATAAAATAATGAAAAAATATATATAATTGATAATAAATAAAATTAAATGAAAAAAGAAAAAATGAATCAATTAGATCGATTGTAATGAGGAACATTTCTCCTCATGTTTTCCTTATTCTGTGGCTAAATTTATCAAAGATGAAAAATATTTTATATTAAAAAAAAAATTATTTAATAAAATATTAACAAATTCATATATTTTTGAAATATCTTACTTGTCGTGCTTTGGTCGTATACGGCATTCTTCGTTTTTTATGGTTTCTTGGTGTTGCATGTTGATGATTACCATTATCTGAAATTCTACTATTATTTTTCTCTTTTTCTATATCTTTTTTTCGATTTCTTACTTCAATATCTTCTAGTAAATTGTCTATTTGACATATCGCTTTATTGATCCATTCCCAAAGCGAAATATTTTCATCTTTAAATTTATAATCTTTATTTATTTTAATTTCAATTTGTCGAGGATTTACTTTTGTATTAATGTAGATGTATGTACCAGTCCCTCTTTCAATGGGTTTTATGTTACGTCCTCCACGACCAATCAATTTACCAACTTCTACATTTTCGGAAATTTCTATAGTGGTTGAAATAGTTGAGTTTCTGATGGAATTTTGCATTTTTGTTTATGAAGAATTTAAAGATGATATATTGTTGTATTTTTATTATTATTATTATAGGAGGAAAAAAAATATATATGATTTTTTTTTGATGAATTTTTTTTTTGAAAAAATGCGAACTCAAAATGGGGGAGTATTTATAATTTAGCAATTTTTTTGCGAAGTTATGTATAAACTATAAACAAAAACATATCGTAAAATCATTTTATTAACATAAAATTTTTATATTTGTTATTATTTTTAATTAACAAAATCATCTTTTTTTAATCAACAAAGACAATGTTTTTGATGACGAGCCATGAAATAAAAATCTATTTTTAAATTGGTTTTATTATAAAAGGTAATTATTATTCTCCTTTAAGTATGAAAAGAATGTTATTGAATTAATATAACTGATTGTCAAGACTATCACAAAAAAGTGATAGCTGGATACTTTGTCTGGACGATCACCGAGTCTTGCGCCACGAATTGTGTTATTGAAAGAAATGTTTTTGTTATCAATTGCCTACTGCGGCACTGCGCTATTAACTATCAACTATTTTATATTCATAATTAATATGATAATATTATGATTAATATATATTACGGATAAGACACCTAAATAATTTATTTATCACATCAGATAATCAATAAAATAGTATATTTATAATTCTTTTAAAAATTATATATAAAGTATTTATATTGATTATTACTATCTTCTAGAAGATTATATAATATATTACTAATCACGACAATTGATTGATTGATTGATAACTATAGGTTACTTTTTCTGATATTATATTTAACTTCAATTATGGTTACTAATCACAAAGCCACAACTTTGTTTGCTGAATTTGAATTTAACTCATATTCGAAGTATTGATTATTATAATCAATTTTTTTTTTTTTTGCAAATAAATATTATATTATAATTCTTTAAAATTTTTACAATACGAATTGTCATAATTGACTATTATTTACACATATATTGAAGATGTGATGATTCCTTTATATAAAATGAGAATTCGGTCTTTTAAAAATTTAAATTTGAATAATTAGGCGCGTACAAAGTATTAACAAGCTCCACATTGCAGAATCACATGACGATCATCAGTCATCATTTTTTTTCTCACGACGCGATTTTTTTTACAAATATATATACTCTCAACATATATACCATCAGTTTTCTCTACTGTTTTCTTTTCTTTAAAAAAAAATACTCTCTAAAAAATAAAAATACTCTAAAATCCTTTACTTCGTCCCTTTCTTAGACGTACGCGTCGCGTACGTCTAATTTTAGTGATCAATCTCAAACTACCATTGCCAATACGTGAACATAAAGAATTCCGATGGTCGTTGTTTTATAAACTTATTTTCTTAGAGTTCTTGAAAAAGAGTGCGTATCAAAAACGCGAAAATTTTTTTTTGATGTTTATAGACCTCTTATCATTGGATCGTATTTATTAGTTAAAGGCTTACAGCACTATTTTGTATTGAAACACTAAACAACAGACGAAAGCTCTCTGAATGGAGCATTACCGGTTTTCTAGATGAGCGTAAATGGCTTAGGAGACTTTAAGAGAGGTGTGTATTTTTTTATTTGCAAAGTGGGTAACTTCCTAAGCTAAAATTAGAACGGATAACTCATTTGAGTCGGGGAGTTCACAAATTTTACTTAGGAGGGTACTGGATTTGTTTGTTTGGGTTGGGTAAGGGTGAGCAAAGTGGGTAATTCCTTGAAATTACCTGCTTTTTCTTTTTTATTTTATTTTATTGCAAAGTGGGTAATTCCTATGAAATTACCTGCTTTTTCTTTTTTATTTTATTTTTATTTTTT